CTCCGGTGGCGCCGGTGTCTCGGTGGCGGGCTTCTTCTCCTCTGGCCCCCCACCCATCAGGAAGTCGAACAGGCCCGCTGGAGAGGGCGGGGGTGCAGGCGCGGGTGGCCAGAGCCCCGCATCAGCAAGGCTTCCTCCTCCTCCTCCTCCTCCTCCCCCTCCTCCTTCTCCTCCTCCTTCGCCTCCTCCGCCTCCTCCTCCTCCTCCTCCTCTTCCTCCCCCTCCTTTTCCCCCTGCTCCTCCTCCTCCTCGCCCTCCTCCTCCCCAAAACCAAGACGTAAGACCGCGGTAGGCGGGCAGGTAACTCATCGCTGTCATCACCAGGGGCTTTTGGCCCAGCAGTTGCAGGCGAGGCGGGAGGCGGCCCGAGGGCCCACGGGCGACTGCCAGGGTCGCCCGCCAGAGAATGCCGCAGCTTTAAGTCGGGCGTGTCCCCCTGCAGGGGGATTTCCAACGAAAAATAAAAACATACTCCGCAAATACTCCGAAATGGTCAAAAAAATACTAAAAATAGTCCCCAGACTATTTTTTGTGATCATTTTTGAATATTCCCCCTGTAGATGGACAGGCCCGACTTACGTAACCGTAGTCCGAGATCCCCCGAAAAGGTACCCTGGAACCGCACTGATCCTGGACAACTCGGGCGTCCAATCCTTCCGAATCATCAGGGCTGGGCGGCAGTCAGGGGTAAGTACACGTCGGTCGGAAGAAGTAGGAAGGCGGATTAGGTGGATTGGGTCCAGGCCCCTCCAGAGAATCACGAAACACAGCAGAAGCGTGTCGATTCTTGAAGTAGGAAGGCGCTTGAAGCAGATTGGGATCTGGGAAGTACCTACTTTCAATGACCGGCGTGTACCCCGGACCGCACTGATCCTGGACAACTCGGGCGTCCAATCCTTCCGAATCATTAGGGCTGGGGGGCAGTCAGGGGTAACTGCAGAGTCGCGCCTCGGGGGCCCAGACTAGAGCCACACCAGACAGCAGTCATCCTGGAGAATTCGGGCGCCCAAGATGGCGACTGAGGCGGTGCAGGAGGAGGAGCGTAACATCGAGTCATTGCCGTTGTACGCTCCTCTGTGCCCAGATTCGCGGCCTGCTCTCTTACTGTCCCCTTGTCTACGCCCTTCTGCTGCCTTACACGTTTCGTGTGCGCACTGGTTGTGCACTCTTTTGTGGTTGCTCTCAGATCTATGCCATCAAGACGCGACGGCTCAGGCCAGCCAGCGCGCAAAGGAAGGTCGACGAGGAGCAGCGGCAGGAGGGGGTGAGGATGGGGAGGCGGCGGCGGCGGAGTGGTGACGGGCCGAGTCGAGCAGAACTACAACAGACAACAGTACGAAAAAGCATTCGTGATGTGCGACCTACCGCGCGCGGGAAACGCACTGCAACTAGAGGGCCCCCACAGTGGGAGCCACGAATTGTCTTCGCTCAGCCAAGGCTACACGGATGGGGAGGAGGAGGAAGAGGAGCAGGGAGGAGCAGGAGCAGGAGGAGGAGCATGAGGATTGACGCTACGGCCGACCGCCAATGTCGGCCTAACGTACAGAGGAGCAAGACGAGCAGGCGGCGGGGGGGGGACGGGCACGGGGAGGAGCGGGAGCAGGAGCAGGAGCACGGGGACGGGGAGGTCTCCGTGGATGGAGCCAGACGACGAATGCGCGACGCCTGCCTCTTCTTCGTCCTCCACCGCGCTCCCTCCGCTCCTTCCCCCGGAATCCACGACCCCCTCCCCCGTCATCCCCTCTTGCTTCCTGCCCCCTCTCCAGCGATTCCTCCGATACTCCTCTGGCCGTCCTGTGGCCATCCCTCCATCCGTCCATCCCCTCCCTCCTTCCTCAATCCCCTCCTCCTCGCTCCTCCTCCTCCTCCTCCTCCTCCTCCTCCTCCTCCTCCTCCTCCTCCTCCTCCTCCTCCTCCTCCTCCTCATGTGCGCCACCACGACACCAGCAAGGTCTACGTGCTTTGCAAGCGAAGCTTTGACCGCTGACGCGCCCGACTGGATGCCCAACGCAACCGGTGGGCTGGCCGAGGCCACTGGCGAGCAATAGAAGTACACACAGGGCCACACCACCGACGGTTACTAGAGCGCGCTGGGGACAGCCTACGAGAAGCACCTGAACGGGTACCACGGCTTCGCGGGCGACGACCTGAGCAAGCGCCAGGGCCACTTCGAACAGCGCAGGCCCAAACCCTGCGCAGCGGCCGCACAGCAGCAGCAGTGGGCCGAGGGTGCCGAGTGGCTAGCGCGGCGACTGAGGCAGCTGAAGGCGCTAACCAGCGCGTGGCAGCAGAGAGGAGATATGAAGGCACCAGGAGGCGAGGCCAGCACTTTGCAGACGTCCTCATCAGCCACGACAGGCGCGCGGCATCGCAGTGGGCAGCCGCCCCGCACCCGTCTGCCTCAAGATGGTCATCTTTGGGGAGTTGGACGGCGTCGCCGCAGACTTTCCGCGGGCATCGCTGTGTCGCGGTCGCCACGGGAGGCGCGAGGATGTTCGTT